GTGTAAGTTGAGAGTAGCAATCAAAAGATTGTTTTTAAAGGAAAAAAAAAGTAGGTCATGGCCCACTGCGGGGCTGGGGTGAGAGAATTGAGCCAGATTCCATGGATTCATTCCAAGAGATTCTCCGGGCTTTCCAGACTCCATATCAGAAGACTTTAAAAGGAAAAGCCTCTCCTGGTCTTAAGTTTACAGGTCTAAAGGCTCAGCGGATATGAACCAGACAAAGGCTAGAGATAGAGTATGCAACTTCTGGGCCAGCTGGAATCTTGGCTAGAGTAGGAAGCTTCCATGCTGATCCTGGTCCAAAGAACCAGGGGAGGACTCTGAAGTGCTTCCCCTTTACCCCCAGCCCCACAAGGAGATGTCCTTGTTAGTGACATTTCACAAGACGGCACAGCAGAGTCTGCTCAATAGCACACTGGGGATGGACAAGGCCTGCCTCTGGGTATACCCCAAAGCAGACTAACAGGCCTGCTTTAATGTAGTGCCAGGTGAGGTGGGCCAGGAAGGCTTAGCAGAGTGAGGACTGGGTGCTAAAGCACTGGGATACAGGGCAGGTTCTGAGAGCTGCCTGCAGGCCAGGGCCTCATCCTCAAAGAGTCAGCTCAAAGAAGCTTCCCCATGACCCCCATCGAAGCCAGCTTTGCCCATTAAAGTATCCAGGAAAGGAAGGCTTGGGGTCTCCACTTCCTGATCCAAACACCCGAGCACTGTGCTCTCCCATTTCACAGCAAAGATTTCCACCCATGATGCCCACCCTGAAGGACAGAAACCTAAAAGGATCCATTGCTAGGAAGGGAAAGGAGGGCGCTCCTTCCTGGGCATAGTGGAGAATGAAGCCTGGGCTGCCTCTTCTCTACATGCCCCCCTCCCGCCACCCGTCCCCACTAGGCTCCTCTGTGGACATGGGGAAAGGGTCTGTGGGTCAGTAAGTCAGGCTTGCAGGAGCATGGAAAAACAATCAGCTCCTCTCCTTGCAGGCTTGCCCCTAGGTCCTTCAAATCTGCCCTCCCAGATCCTCTACCCCAAGGAGGTGTCTCTGCCATGTCCTCTTGTGCTGAGAGCTCATCTCTCCAGGTATATAACCTCGAGTGGAGCAGGTGCAGTGGGAGAAGGCTACCCCAACAGACTGACTCACAGACCTGGAGGGGTCCTTGGAGATTGGTGAGCATCCCTCTGGGATCAATGAAGAAAAGGAAAGCATAAAGAGTGAAATGGCCCATCCAGGACCACCCGGGAGAATAAGGGCAGGTCTTCCAGCTCGAGTGTGTCCACGACGACCACTTCCGCCCCCCACCATCACTCTGTTTCACCCAAGGGCACCTTTCCCACCCCAACTCAAGCCTCAACGCTGATAGGCAAAGCTCCCCAGAGGACACCTGGCCAGGCCGGAACAATGCTCCAGGCCATCCTCCATCCTTGCCCTTCCACTTGCACGACCACACTTTACAGCCATGTGGGGCGAGGGGCTGGGCAGGGAGGGGTGGAGGGATGCCCTGGTTCTAGACCAGGAGCTCACCCTGTCACATCCTGGAGCACCTAGAACTTCTACCCTGGACCCAGTTCAAACATGTAGAGACTGCACTGTCGTGGGTCCTGCGGCGGCTGCTATCCCACTTTTCGTCCTGACGCCCAGAGACCCCTCCATCTGGCTCAGTGCCTCAGACACCATCAGCCCTTAGCCCCGGGGACGCCTCATTCCTGACCCTCCCGACACTAAAACTTGTTGAAACACCCCTCTGGTTCTATGACGTGAGGCTTATTCCCCAATCTCGTTCCTGGCTCCCCCCACCCCTGGGAAAACAAACAAAAAGCCCCTCTGGCTCTTCAAACAGACACAGAGGTTCTATAAGCCTGAAACCACCCTACTCTGAAGTCTCCCCCCTCCCTCAGGGCCACAGATGCCCCCAGGAGCCACACATGTCCTTCCGTAACAGAGGACTCGTGAAGGGGGTGCTGGGGTTCCTCTGCTACCACTCGCTCATCAAGATGGCTGGGGGGGCCCGTTGCCATGGTGCACCCGGCCCACATGTGTGCACAGGCTCCTGAAGGCCCTGGCCTACTGTCCCCGGGCTTGGACTCAGCTGGCCCTCCAGCTTCCTCCCAGAACCAGTTCCTGGCCCATCTGTCATTGCACTGACACTGGGTAAGGCAGCCTGGCAGGTCGTGTTAGCACCTAGAAGGAGAGAATGCCTCTCCATCCAAGAACCACTCTGCCCCCTTCCATCGTGTTTTGGGACTCATAGTGCCACTTTATCCCAGCCACCACAAGGCTCAGAGCTCCAGCTCGGTGACTGCTAGATTGCACACCTGTGGCATTCACTCCTGACTTCCTTTGCAAGGCCCTCGGTTTTTTCTTCCAACCACGCTCCTGTTGTATGCAAAGTTTCTTTTGTTTTCTTTTTAAAGATTTATTTATTTATTTTAGAGAGGGAGGGAGAGTGTGTGTGAGCAGGAGGAGGGAAAGAGGGAAAGGGAGAGAGAATCCCCAGGCTCCAGCATGAAGCCTTATGTGGGCTTGATCCCAGGACCCTGAGACGTGACCTGAGCCAAAATCAAGAGTCAGCCACATAACTGACTGAGCTACCCAAGCGCCCCTGCATAGTTTATTTTAAATTGCCTCAATCAGTGTCCGTAGGTGATAAGGCCTATTTTTTAAGCAAGCAAAAGAGAAAGGCCCACCTTCTTCACAGTTTTCCAGAGCCCTGCAGCTAGCTCTGGGGATCAGGACCAGAGCCCTCTGAACTCAGGCACTGCCTGTTTTCCAAACCAAACTAGCACTCCCCCTTCATCCAACATGGCCCCAGCACTCCCATGGTACAAAGAGGCCTCCCTTCCCTCTGCAGCCTCTGCCTCGGTACTCCACATCTGCCTCCTGCCAGGCCTAGACCAACCACAACTGGCTTCCACCCTCCACTCACTCACTCACTCACATGGATTCACACACTCCCTCACACATATACATCATACACATACACTTTGCTACACCCTCACACTCACACTCACACACATACACGCACATACACACCACGAGGCACCACGTCTCAGTCACTGCCTCCCTCAGGAACCCCCTTCTCTTCTGGATTCTGGCCCACTCTCTCCTGGCTGTCCTTCCACCTCCGAGCTTCCCTGTCACAAGTTTTCCTTCCTCTGCCCCTCCCTGAAGAACTCGTGTGTCTAGCAGAGTTCTGCCTCACTATCCACACCAATGGCTTCTCTTATCACCAAAACACTGAGGATGCCCAAATCTGTAGGCATCTCCAGCCTAGACTCCCTCTTGGGCTCCACCAACCCACCCTGCACCATTCCACTCACTGATGGAGCTTTAATCACCAACAAGGCACCCAACAGCTCCCAAACCCACTTCTCCACTTCACTCCCTTTACTGGGCATGCCCCCAGGCATAGCCAAGGGGATGACAACGGTCCTCCAGGCACCGCAAATGCTGCACATCCAAACCTCCCCCCACCACACGTTGAATGGCTCCTTCGTCCCATAATTACTCGACTAGGAAACATGGCGGTCCCCATTCATTTGTCCATTCAAGTAATGATTGTGGAGGGCTCACCATGTGCCAGGCTCTCTGTGTAGGACGAGGTGTGGTGTAAACAAAACAGAAATGACTTCTGCCTCCGGGGAACGAACTTTCAACCAATCACCCAGTCCTGTCGAGTCTACTTACCAATCATATCTGAAATGATACACTTCTCTCCACTCCTGCGGCTGCCGTCTTAGTGCAGGCCAGGGCGCTACGCTGGAAAGCAGCGGGATGGATGGATCCCAGCTCCGAAATGTATGAGCTGTGTGACCTTAGGCAAACTACCTTCTGTATCTCAATCTCCTCATGTGACAGATAAAAATGGTAATAGTCATCTACCTTGTAGCTTTGTTGTGAGAATTAAATTCGATAAACCATATAATAAACCGACGTCCAGCACAGAGTAAGCAAACTTCTTGTGGCCCCCCACCTCACAGCCCTCACCACGTGCGCCCACCATCCGCAGCGCCCCGTAAGGCCAGGCTCTCTCCTACCCTCCAGCCTCTGCATATGCTTCTCCAGCTGACAACATTCCCTGGCTTTCTCCTTCTCATTTTTCAAGGTTCAGCTCAAGGCCCCCTCCCCTAGACCCCCAGGCTGAGGCAGATGTCCCTTCCCGATGCAGCCTCATCTGAGAGCCCACAGCCCTCATCCCCTACCCTGGGATCGCTGCCTCGTCTGTCTCCCCTTCTGCACTGGCTGTTCCTCGCAGAGCACAGCGTTCACCTCCGCACACCCTTAGAACTGAGTGCTTGCTGGGCGCCACGGCGGCTAGAGAAGTGCTTAACAACAAACAGGGAAGGCAGAAGAACTCTAAAGAAGCACATTTCAACTCACTCTAACGACAACCAAAAAAACCTTCCTGATAATTACGCTACACTTACTAAGCATTTCCTCTAAGCCAGGCTCTGTGCTGAAATTTGGGCACACATCACATCCTCTAATCCTCAGGATAACCCTGTGATGTGGGCACGTTTACTCCCGTTTACAGGTGAACGAATGGCGACTCAAAAAAAGTTTACAACTTGCTCCGAGTCACGCAGCTAGTGAGCGGGAAAGTCAAACCCAGGCAGTCAGACTCCAACCCGCACGGCACGGCAGCACCAGCCTACTGGGAGCCACCTCTTTGATTTCCCGGAGCCCCGTCCTGGTGGCCACATGACCTCACGGGGACCTGAGGTGGGGGCTTCCTCCAGAGGTGGGAACCAATTCACTGAAGGTCCCTTCTTAGTCCAGGCTCTAGGGGTCTATGCTTTGAAATTCTCTGCTCCTTGGCTTGTTCACCTCGGCTTCGGCACCGAACTGAGCACGAGCTGAGCACGGAGCAGGCAGACAAACCATAGACCTGCGCCGAACGAAGTGGCCGGCAACGGGGTCTGCGCATGTCCGAGGCCCCCCTCTGCGGGGCCCGGAAGCGCAGGGTGCGGAGCGGCGGCGGCGGCGGCGGCGGCGGCGCGCTTACCGGCACAGGTGGTCGGTCCGGCACACGCCGCGGAGGTCCAGGCAGTTGGGCTTCTCCTTGTCCTCGTAGGAGCAACTGGGCAGGATGGTCTGCCGGCGGCGCTCGGCGCACGCCTGGTCTTGGCAGGAGCAGAAGAGCATGCGGTAGGTGTACTCGCTGGGCACCCGGTCGAAGAACTGGCGCAGGGCCTTGTGGCACTTGCGGCGGTTGCAGCGCTCGGTGGGCGAGATCTCGCGGTTGCAGATGGAGATGTAGGAGGAGCGTAGCTTCTTGCAGTTGTCGTTCAGGTTGCAGGCCTTGGCGGCGTCCAGGCAGTGGTTGCTCTTGGCGCTGACCGCCGGGTCTGCCCCTGTCCCTGGAGCGGAAGGAGAGAGCAGGTCACAGGCCTGCCCGGGCACCGGAAGCCCACAGCCACCCGCTCCCTGGGGATGCCTCCCAGCGTCCACGGTGCCCTTTGCCTCAGTTTCCTCATCGGTGAAGTGGGGACACAGCCAGGATTAAATGAGCGAATAAACAGGTCCAGGCGCTTGTACCTGCGTAGGACAGCGCCTGGTACAGAGCACACTGTACCTGTGGGGAGCTCTGATGATGAGGACTGTTAACTGAGTCTTATTTAAATCTTACCACAACCAAAATGGCAAGCAACTAGGTGTTCGCAGTCCTGTTCACAAACAGGAAATAAAATGACTGGCTCAGGTTGATAGGACTGAGTGGCAGCTGAGGCAGGATGGGCCCCCAGGCCCCCGAGCACCCAGCAGCAGCACTCGTGCGCGGGCTTCTGGTCAGGGTCCTGCTGGCATTTAGGGAGGGACAGTCCTCATCACAGGATCTTCAGCCAGAGAACAAACAGCACCACTGCCACCACCCTCATCCCCACCGTAGGAGCACTGAAGCTGTCCCTACACGTTTCAAAATGCCCCAAGGCGGGGGTGCTGCAGCGGTTAGTCAGTCGGGAGAACCACTAAAAAGGACAGTGCAGGTGGGAGCCCGGTAGTGTGAGGTAGAGGCTGAAGGCCAGCCGTGGACTCTAACAGGGCTGAGCGCACAGCCAGCCAAAGGGTAGGTGTGCTGGGTGTGGGACTTGGCGTTAGCGCCATGCCTCTGAGTCTTGCATCGCTGCCCACGGAGCGGAATGTCTTGGACACAAAGCAGAATTCTCAGAAATTGTCAGGTTCCTTTTGTGGTGGCTACCCCATCCCGCAGGTCTCAGCTCTTCTAACAACCACCTGACCCTCCGCTGCCAGCCGACCCCCACCTACAGAGTGCCTCTTGTCCATCCTGACAACAGACAGAGGAGGGAGGCAGGAATCGAGTCTGCACATGCCCACCTGAGACATTCTGGTGAGAGCCAGATGGGAGATCACCTAACCCCACCTCTTGATTTCGCAGATAAGGAAACTGAGGCACTAAGTGGGCAAGGTTTGCCCCAGGTCACCCAGCACACTGGTAGTAAACCAGAGCAGGGACCCAGTCGTGCCAGCACCGTGTACACCATCAGTTTAGCTTTTAGGACCGATGAGCCGCAGCCTCTTCATTCATTCTTCATCCACCCAGTAAATGCTTGCCAATATTTAGTGAGCACCACCCACGTCATGCAAGGTCCTGGAAGGTGTTGGGAAGGATGCAGGGTGAGGGAGGCTGACACCATGCCCCCCTCCCGTGGCCACCACAGGTGCCTGAGCATTTCCAGCACTGTTCCTGGTCTCCGGGTCTCTGGGTCATTAAAGATCTATCAAACCCCACCTCTGCACAGCCCTCTCTGCTGGGTGCTGTGTCAGATACAGATGTGTAAGAGCTCGTCCCAATTCTCAAAGAGCTCACAAATCTAGCTAGGAAACCAAGAGACAGAATAGCATAGCGGTTAAGACTGGGTGTTCTAGAACTGAGCCATCGGCATTAAATGGCCCTGCTTTGTGGCTTTGGACAAGTGACTGAATCTTCCTTTGCCTCAGTTTCCCCATCTGCATAATAGTACCTCCCACATAGCCTTGTTGTGAGCATGAAAGAGATCGCTCATTTTTTTCTCTCTCCTGCATGATAACTTTGCCCTATCTACGAAATCATCCCCATCAGGTGTTACACCACCCATCTTTAAGAAAAAAAAGCCTCCTAATGACCATACACCCACCTTTAAGCTACCACCCTATTTTTTCTGCTTCCTTGAAAGCAAACCCCTCAAAGGAGTTGTCCATTCCAACAGTCTCTTTCTCCCCTCCTGGTCTCACCTGGACCCACTGCAGCCTGGCATTTGCCTCCCGCTCTTGTCAGTGGTCAGGGATCCTGGGCCTTCCTCATCCTCAGCCCATCAGGACACTGGACATAGCCGGTGGCCCCCTCTGGCCCCCTTTCCTCACTCCCTTCCCTTCTCTGCTGGTCTTCTGTTCTCGCCTAAGCAGCCTTCTGCCTTCTCCTCCAGGGCTCAGCCCCCTCTTCTCTCTGTGCACCTACTCCCCGGGGCCCTCATGGCTTGTCCCCACCCAGACCTCCCCCTGGACCCCAGATTCGTATGTCCAACTGCCTGCCTGCCCACTTTACCTGGAAGGCTGACACCCACATCTCAAATTTAACCAAACCCACGTGTTCCCCGCAAGGCTGTTCCCCAGCCCCAGTCCTCCTGATCCCTCTGAAAACAACTCACACTCCCGGTAGCTCAGGCCAAAAATCTTGGCACTTCCATGACTCCTCTCGCATTCACACACCACGTCAGACAAACCAGGCAGTTCCACCTCCAAAACACATGCAGAATCGAACCACTTCTCACCACCACCACTGCTCCCACCATGGTCCAAGCCATCATCACTGCATGCTGGCAAGAGCCTCGCTTCCCAGTTGCCCTGCTCTGTCCTGGAGCCCACCCCAACCCCTGCCTCAAAACAATCCTCTCATCGCAGCTGGAGTGAACCTTCTAGAACCCAAGGCAGAGAGATAATGCTCCTGGGCCCCAACGCTTCCTGTGGCTTCCCATCTCACTCGGGATATGGTCTCTCTATCTGTGCTGTCCAGTACAGTAGCCACTAGCCACACATGGCCATTGCACCTGAAATGTGGCTAGCCCAAAATGGGATGTCCACACCAGATTTTGAAAATGTACACCAGATTTTGAAGATGTGCTAAGAAAAAATAAAAATCATGTAAAGCATTTCATTAATAATTTTTTAGTTTGACTACATATTAAAATAATAATCTTCTGGAAATATATTAAACAAATATATTGTTAAAATTACTTTTACTTGCTTCTTTTTATTTTTTTAATGTGGCTACTAGAAAACTTAGAATTATATAGGTGACTCATATTTCTGTTAGGCAGCACTGCCCTATATGACCTCACCTCCTACTCTTCCTGGTCACTTCCTCCATTCCAGTCACAGGGGCCTCCTTGCTCTTCCTGGACTGTGCCCTGACCTCAGGGCCTTTGCACTTGCTGCTTCCTCTTCCTGGAAAGCTCTCCCCCATTACCTTCCCTCACTTCTTTCAGGTCTCTATTCAAATGACTACCTTGTCTGTGAATCCTTCCCAACCACCCTCTACATAAGAAGAAGCTACTCCCATTATCCCTACTCTGATCCCTTTATCCCACAACTCATCACCATCTACCATAGTATACACTTCCTTAGTCATTTGTTTGTGTCAAATATAAACGCCATAAAAGCAGAGGCTTTATTGGTTGTACTCACTGCTGTACCCATATTTCCCAATGTCTGGTGCATGGTAGGTGTTGAAGACAAATTTAACAAGTGAAAGAATAAACGTACTTAGAATAATATTTAATTCCTAACAAGTACTCAAAAGTTGTTGGTTAATATTTTTAAAGAAGCCAAAATGACACAGAGCCAGCAACAGTGGTCAATACAAGACCATGTGTAATCAAGTATCAGTGTGGCCCGGAAGGGCTCAGATGTGAAAGTCGGGGGACGATGGACGAAGACTGGGCCTCACCCTGACACCCTGCCAACAACAGCCCTACAAAGGCAGCAAGAGAAAAGTTTCTTCTCTTCTTCTTATAAAAAGGGGGATTAAGGCAGAAAGGGAATCAAGGTTGGTTTTCCTACTCATTGGATAAACAGATCTTTACTGAAGGCCCACTATGTGCCAAGCACTTCCTCAGAGACCCAGCTGGAAACAAAGGGGCTGAACTGTGCGTCAGGGAAGTCAGGGTGCTGTGGGAGCAGAGAGGAAAGCATCGTGCCCAGACCAGAGGTCACAGAAGCAGTGGCATCTCCGCTGAACCTACAGGATGAGTCAGAGGAAGCAAAAAGAGTACAAAGCGGGTCCCAGGCTGAGCCAACAAAGAGCTGGGGCAAAAGCTGGGAGGCGCTGACAGCAATTCAGGATGCCTGGAGATGGAGACTGAAAGAGGAGCCCCGGAGAGCAGAACAGGGGCTTGTCCACAGTGGGGTGCAGCCTCCCGAGCAGTCGCCCTGAGCTGAGGCCACACCATCCTGCCCGGGGCCAGGATCCAAGGACACCCGTCTGCACACAGGCTGTTCTGGGGGCACTCCCTCTACAAAGGCTTCTCTCCCCCGCCAGCCAGGCTGTTCTTCCACGTTCCTTGCACCTGTCAGGACGCTGGCGGGCAGAAGGGAAGAGCGAGTGAAGCAGCCTGGGGTGGAGGTGAGGGGAGCGAGGACTGCGAGGGCCCCCGGAGAGGAGCGGGGCGACTCCGCATGCCTAGCAGCAGCTAATTTAGGCCCACGGCTGCTTTTAGGTTCCCCAGGTGCTCTGCTCCCGCTCCTCTCAGCGTGTTCCTGAGCTAATGCCGGTGTAATTACAGCCTCAGTACCTTCCATTTGGAGCTTGAATAGTGAAAGCTTGTGCTAGGGGGCGGGAAATGTAAACCCCTGGGCCAAAACTTGGTAAATTTCCTAGAAAAAACAGTAAATGTGGCAACAGCAATTGCCTAGTTACAGGGAAGAGGCCCCTTCCTACCCTCCCGGAGCGGCTGCCCGACCCGGTGGGGAACGGCCCCTTCGGACCCTCCTGGAGCGGCTGCCCGACCCAGTGGGGAATGGCCCCAGAGGCTGGCTGGGCGCGGCTTTCTCTCCAAGCAAGGAGGCACGTTCCCAGGGCAGGCAGGCCGAGCACACAGGCCCTCCCACACGCACTCTCTCCCACCACTGAGCCGCCTCTCCCCTGGCTCTGGAAGGCTTTTTGTTTTCTCTTCCAGAGCCCCCACTGGGGGAGGAAGGAGGGAGGGCTGGATTGCAAACGGGAGCCTCACCCAGTGTGGGCCTCAGCCCCTTGACTAAACTGTCCAAAGGGCAGGGAGGGAGGCCCCAGCTACCCTCCCCTCGCGCCCCCTCCACACCCCTGGCAGAGACCACACAGGACCGGGTGAAGGATTCAGGCCTGGACCAGCCTGCTCTCTACACTCACTCTGCTCCTCCCTACATGGGTCTCCCAGGCCTGCCCAGAGGAGCCCTGATGGGCCAAGGAGTAAAGGCAAACAGCTGCCCCAGGGAGAGCGAGGGGGATTGAACCAGGCCTGGTACTTTCCAAAACCTCAGGGAACTCAGCCTCCGGCTCCAGCCCCGGGGGACACACTCTGGCTTCTTCCTGCCCTCCCTCCCTGTCCCGCCCTGAGGCAGGCCAGGTGAACAACCGTAGAGGGGCTCCCTCACCCCAGCCAAGCCTCGCCGACTTCCCCTCTTCCCTCCTGGGGTGCTGCCCTGAGCCAGTGACCAACTGTCCCTAGATCTTCAAACTGTTCTCCTTGAAGTAAGTGTGTGACACTTGTATGGAGCGGGCTTTGCCACACCGCAGTCACCTAGGTCCACCTTTATCATTTCGGCCATGTTACCAGAACCACACGTATGAATATTTAATTTCTCCTTTAAATAAATCTCCTAATACACAAGTGAGATGCATAAATTTCTTCAGTTGACTCACTTTTTAAATTTTTTTAAGGATTTATTTATTTATTGGAGAGACAGCAAGTGAGCACATGTACAAGGGGAGGAGCAGAGGAAGAAGGAGAGACTCGCAGGCAGACTCCACACTGAGCATGGAGCCCCACACCAGGCTCGATCTCACAACCCTGAGATCACGACCCGAGCAGAAAGCCAAGAGTCAGACGCTTAACCGACTGAACTACCCAGGAGCCCCTTTAAATTTTTTAATACCTACCCGGATTTATCCTAAATGATAACATCTCTGTTAGTTCTCAATTTTTCTAACACGTGTAAAAATGCACTGCTATTAACACTGTGAATTGTGCAAGACTGTTGAATCTCAGATCTGTACCTCTGAAACAAATAATGCAATATATGTTAAGGAAAAAAAAAGAAGAAGAAGAAGGTA